TTAAGCTCCTTCTACAATCATCTTAATCATCTCCAATATGAACAAAGTGCCAAACAAATTATGAGGATTGTAAGGAAGGAAGCAAAGGGACCACAATTCCGAAAATGATAGGAATAAGGATCATCCAAAACTTACTCTAAAAATAGCATTTCCCTAAATTTATGCAAAGGAAATCCAGCAACTGCTTCGCTTTATGTAACAAAATAGAGAAGCAATAAAATAGAAACAAGAATCAGAAAAGTAAATATTTTCTCTTCAATGAATTTCTTTTCTAATTTATGAAAAAAGAGATGGAGATGATTGTAGAGGGGGGCCACAGCAGGGGCTGTGTTTTTGAGTGAAAAATTGAAGGAATCGCAGTTGTTTCTATTAATTTCATCTTAAGAAATTTACATTGAAAACTTAAAAAAAAAAAGAAAAAGAAAAAAAAAGAGAGACCCAACAAAGCACTTACCGGAGATGATGAATTGAGGTGGCACAGTTGGCTCGGCGGCATGAGACGATTGCAGAAGGTTTGAAGAAGGAGATGGAGATGCTTGTAGAGGGGGGGCCGACGGCAGTGGCTGTGTATTTTGAGAGAAAAACGACGTCGTTTTTTTGTTGATACTCCAATTTTTTTAATAAGTAGGGCTGATTTACACTTTTCCATTATTGCCTAAAAATATCTGCCTGACAACCTAATAAAAACACCTTACCCTACCAGTGTCCACACCGAAAGTATACGGGGGCCAATTGTAAAATAATTCATGATAGGTGTACATACTTTGTGTCCTTACATGACCCCACTTTTTGCGTTTTTATCATTTTCCTGCAATTCCAAAGTTGAAGACTCTCAGAGGAACAATGGAAAACGGATCCAGGAAATGGTGTTTTCAAGGGAACCAGGAGCTGGACCAAAAGTCTGACGTCACAATCAGGACGGTGCTCGATATGCTCCTGAAGAATCTCAACAAGGATGATTCCCGGCCGGTGATTCCCCTCGGTCATGGCGATCCCTCCCGTTTCCCATGCTTTAGGACCGCCGCCGCAGCCGTTAATGCCATTTCCGACGCCCTACGATCCGCTGAGTACAATTCCTATGCTCCGACTATTGGAGTTCTTCCAGCAAGAAGGTTAGTTTTTCCTTGATAATTTTTTTTAATTATAACAGCAGTTGAAGCTTCGGAAGCCAAAGTAGCAAACCCTTGTTTTTTCTAAATGATATTTCCCAAGAATCTTGTTTTTCATTCCGAATACACATTAAAAGTAAGGCTTAAAAACTATCATAATATCTTTAACAAATTAATGTGTATGGTTATTATCACAAAAAAAAAATGGTAGGGAAATTAATGTTAGTGTATGAAAATATTAGTTTTTGAGTTGATTTTAATTTATTAATTAATTTATTAATTATTTATTATTAAT